CCATGCATAGGACTCGCGTCACTGCACCAGAAAGGTCCCGTACAAAAACACTGATCAGAAGGGGAAGAGCTACAGAGTAGCTTCAGGACTGTGAAAACCTCCTGGTGGGGAAGATTTGTCTGCCTTGGACTAGGCAGGCTGCCCTTTGCAGGAAGGGAAGCTAGGACAAATGCTACAATGTACAAAGCCATCAGGCATCTCAACAGTGAATGAGCACATTAGTGAAATATCAGAGCAACCAAATCATAATTTCATGGAGTCCGTGTTCCCAACCAAACAGGGAGAGCCATCGAATGGAAGGGCATGCTCCTAGAAACAGAGGTAACCAGCAGGATTTGTCTCAGAGGACACCCAATCTCAAGCAAGCTTATCATTGTACATTTGTGGGTATATACTGGGGCCTATTTGTGAGGGCTAAGAGTGGGCAACTGCTCCATCTGAACACAGGCGTCTACTATGAAAGTGGGGAGCACCGCTCAGTCACCATAAGTTGTGAACTCCTCAGAGAAGAAGGCCTAAATTAGTGTCACACACAGCATTCTAGCTATGCTTCTAAAATCCTAGTCAGGTGTTCTTTCTATTGCTCATCCATTGCATACATGTCAGTATAGGAGGAAGACGCAACAGATGAGGTCACAACCAAGATGCAAACACACACACACACACACGCGTGCACACACACACACACCACACACACACACACACACGCACACACAGCAATTGTGTGGAGGGATGGAAAATAATATGCCCCTCCCATCAGGTCTTTGGGAGGCATTATTCAGAACTATAGGAATACAGTGTGGTTAAAGGGTTTGAGTTAATTGCTCACAGAAGAAACTGTCATGTGAAACTGAGTTTGAGTCAGGCTGTCGGAGAAAGTTGTGAGATGAGCCACGCTTCTACCCGTCATCTAGTCTTCATACGGAGTAGTGACAGTCATCAACTGACATCATTCCTGAGGTTCCCAGAAGTCTGGAAGATGAACCTAATCTTACTTTCATAACCTTTATAAAGGGCAAAATGTTACTTTTCGATTAAAAATAGTTTTTGGAAGGTGCTACCACGATCAAAAGATTTAATTACTTAAGGTTGATAATGACACCAAAGCAGTCAGTGGTGGATGAGTCCATTGTGTCTCTGCAAGGGTTACAGTTTGGAGGCCATGGTTTCTATTTTTCTGAATCTCAAAAATATCAAACAAAATGTCAAAAATGAGCCTTGCTGTCTTCAATCATTTTTTAAACACATCTTTGGGACCCAAATGTCAAAGGTTTAAGACTCACTGTGGATCACAGGAACCCAGACAAGAGACGGCAAGTTGTCAACGATCACAGAGATCACAGCGTAATGAGCGGCATCTGCTCTACAGCCGACCTGTCCCTGTGGATCAGTACCACCAACCAAACGGCACAACAGAGCAGACAGCAGAAGGAAACACTTTCATAGGAAGGAAACCTGGTTCACTGCAGGTTCCTATTTTAGTTTCACACTGTGATCCGTGGTTGCTTGAGTCTGTTTTGATGTAAACATATGCACACTTCTTGTTTTCTTCTGTCTTGTTCATGCTTGAATAGGTGTAGTCAGGATTGCCCCTGTAGTCCAGTAGGCTGGCCTTGAACTGGTGATGCTCCGATCTATGTTAGCCTTTCTGCAACATAGAAATAGAATCCTTTGGGACTCCAGGTATGCACCACCATGCTGGGGCCCATATCTCTTTATGTTAAACTGCCACCACCCTATTCCCACTTTTGCCTTTTCTCTAGTGCCTACCATACCTCTGAAGTCGGTTCACTTTTTCTTGTTTGTTCTCTACTTCCCTGTGCAGCAGGGGTCCATAGCTTACTGTGCACACCAGTGCTTACAGCCAGGCCTGGGGCTGGGAGGCAAAGGGCTTGTCTTGCAAGCAGGAGATCTGAGTCTGATCCCTATAACCCAGAGAAAGGCAGGATTGTGGTACTGTGCCCTGTGAGCCCAGTACTCATCTGGTAGGTGTGGCGGAGGCAGAAGTGTCACTGCTCTTTGTAGCCAGCTCGACTAGACTGCTCCACCAGGGCCGACGGTCAGCATGGACTTCAGAGTTGTCCTTTGGTTGTGTCAAGTTATCCTGTCTTTTTCTAAGATCATGTTTAGAATAACGAGCGTCTGTGAAGACTTCTGAATTCCTAACTGGATTATTTACAAATGAAAAGTTCAGCAAGAAAATGCCCTAATCTGAAGGGGGTTGGTGCCATGAACTCTGTGGTGACGTCAGGGGTAGGGAGGGGTAATGGTTGGGTTCATAGCTGATGACAACACTTGTCTAAACTGATTGCATACATCACTTTTAAATTCATCACACAATTGATCATATTCACCCCAACTCCTCCCCTGAACTCCTCTCAGATCTACCCACCTCCTAATCCTCCAACAAAAAATTTGTGACCTTTTATCGTTTAGAATGTAATCAACTCCAATGTACATGTTGTTGACCTCCAGGAGCTACACCACTAATGAAAATTGGCTCGCCTTCCCTCAGAAGCTTTTCTTAGCTGCAGCAGCTCATGAGACAGCTGTCATTCCTGCTCCTATAAGTAACCCCTCACCCATATTCCTGTAAGTAACCCCTCACCCATATTCCTGTAAGTAACCCCTTACCCATATTCCTGTAAGTAACCCCTTACGCATATTCCTGTAAGTAACCCCAGTTAAGTTCATTGGTTCACTAAGTTGGACATTGGAGGTACCTGTACTTTGGTCTGTCCTGGGTTCCCTATCTGGGGTGAGTAGATGAGTGATGTATTTTGTCTCCCTATGGAAAGTTTTGTCATATGACATAGAGTTCCAATGATGAACAGTCCCACCAAAGCCCACCTTGGGGACCAGGGACTTTATTGGGCTTACTTACTAAGCATGAGGAAGGGGTTAGTTACAGGAGCGTGGGTGACCCGAAAGCAGCTGACCATCAGAAAGGTCTTCTTACCCCAATACAAATGATGATTTACCCAACCTTCCACACTGTAATCTAGCATCTCTACTGGGACAGAGCCAAGTGCAGTGAGGGCAAAATTCCATGGAAACGGTAGGAGATGCAGAGGGAAGGCCTGAATCTCATCCTTTCTATCCCCTTCTTCTGAGGACAGTCAACAGCCTGATCTCATGCCCACGTCACAGCTATTCTGATGACTGACAGCTGTCACGTTAATCCTCACCTTCTATAACACATTCTCTTCTGCACCCCCGCCACTGTCCTTGAGCCAGCCACCTGCCCACCCCTGGCCGAGACCCATGCACTTGGCTACCTCTCTCCAAATCATTTCTCAACCCAACCAAGCTCCCTTCTAGACTTCGGAGGAGAGCACCTCGGCTCCCCACAGCTCTTCTTCCTCACTCACTGAAACAGTTTACTCCCTCGTGGGAGGGATTAGCCACTCTAAGGCTTGATTCAAGACACACCCATAAATTACAATGCTCCAACTGTTTACTCTTTCTAAATTCTCGAGCAGGATATTTGCACATGAAAAGTTCTCTAGAAACGGTGTGTTCCTGTTCAGTAGACTAATCCTGGGGTGGTGTCTCAGTAGGGCAGCCCAACTGTGTGGTGTTCACCTCCCTTTTTATAGCATAGGGACTTGCACTTCTATTATCAGAGCTTTGGGACCAGAACGGAAGTGCTGGTAGGAAAGGCATTTCAGAAAGAACAATAGACAGGACTTGTCCTATGCCTCAAAGATATGAAGAAGAGAAACCGCCTCACTTTTTGGGTGTGATTACTTAAAATCGGCGTTTTCTGGAAGGCAATCAATTTCCTGGAAGACCTAGTTCAGTTTAGAATCCTTGTCCTCATCCCTGTTCAGCAATGGGAAGGCATCCTAAGCAAGCACTACTGAGTCCATCATGTGTCTAGCAAGCGGTGCTGTTCAACCCCCAATAAGAAAGGCTGGATTATGCGGTACCTTTACTCAACAACTGATGAGTACCGCCCTCCCAGCCCTAGCCAAAACAGTGCAATTTAGGAGTATGATTTGTATGCAGAATGCCTGGTTTACCACAGCCTAAGGCCAAACAACACGGGGAAGTCCTCAGAAAGTGGCAATCATTCATTACGTGGCAAACTGGCCTTACCTTAGGCCTTACATCACAGAAAAATTTTGGAATAGCGATATTGACTCCCTGGTTTGTTGCTCCCTCAAGATTCGAACAATGCCAGGAGACCAAACCAAGAGAGCTGAAAGCTTTTAGAATTCAGCCAACATCAACAGGTAACGTCCTCAGGTAGAAAAAACAACCAATCAACAAACGTTGAAGGAGATACAAGGCAAGGCCTACAGCCTGGGCGCTCAGAGGAGCCTGGTAGAGAGGGCCATGAAAATGTTGCAGGAATTTCAGTGACTGGGGACTCACGTTGGGAACTGACCCCAAACCTCGGATGGGCACACATGGAGGCCACTTAAGCTCCCCTGAGGACGCCATCGATCACAGAACCACTCTCAGCCAATCTCTTAACCCAACACCTTCTTCCTGGCTCTCCCCACCAGAGGGAGTAGTGGGCCCCAGGGGCAACCGCGGCCTCAGTGTCCCGGCCAACTGCTAGGAAGCGGGCAGATTTTCAGAGAGCGTGGGTCGGGAAAAAAAAATCCAGTCCGGGTTTTGACTGAACGGGGGGCCGGGAAGGCTGCGAGGACTCGAGCAGGGGGCGGGCGGCAGCGAAGACACCACACAAACAGCTCGCGCCCAGGACGCCTCGGTAGGCCCCGAGCGCGCGGGCGGGCGCAGGGCCCGGAAAGCGCGCGCCGGCCGGGACGCCGGCCGCATGGAGCGCAGCGCGGCCCGCGGCTCCCGGGCGCTGCAGGCGGAGGCAGCAGCGGCGGCAGCGGCGCGCTCGCTCACACCCACCCCCGCCCGCGGCCGGCGCGCCGCCTCGCCGTAGCCGCCGGCGTCCCCGCGGGCCGGGCCAGCGAAGGCGGCGCCCGCGCGTCCTCCAGCCAGCGGCCGCGGCCAGCCCCGGAGGCGGCCCCGCAGCGCCGCAGCCGCGCGTTCCCCGGGCCCGAGCAGCCGCCGCAGCCGCCGCAAGCGCGAGGAGCCCGGCGCCCCGGGCCGCAGCCCGGCGCAGGCATGCAGGCGAGGCGCCTGGCCAAGCGCCCCAGCCTGGGCAGCCGCCGCGGGGGCGCTGCGCCCGCTCCCGCCTCCGAGGCCGCCGCGCTGGGGCTCCCGCCCCCCGGCCCCAGCCCCGCCGCCGCCGCACCGGGAAGCTGGAGGCCGCCGCTCCCGCCGCCGCGCGGGACCGGTCCCTCGCGCGCCGCCGCCGCCGCCTCGTCGCCGGTCCTGCTGCTGCTGGGCGAGGAGGACGAGGACGAGGAGGGCGCGGGCCGGAGGCGCAGGGCGCGCGGGCGGCTGGCCGAGAAGCCCCGAGGGGGCGCGGAGGAGGACGACGACGACGAGGAAGAGGACGAAGAGGTGGTCGTCGAGGTGGTGGACGGCGACGAGGACGACGAGGACGCGGAGGAGCGCTTCGGGCCCCTCGGACCCGGCCGTGCGCTTCCCAAGGGCCCGGCCCGGGGAGCGGCGAAGGTGCGTGCCGGGGGCGCCGCGGGCTCTCGGGGCAGCCGGGCGCCGGGGAGCAAGCGAGAGAGAGAGGGAGGGAGGCCGAGCGGCGCTGTGCGGCGCGGGCCGGGAGGGGTGTGTCAGGCGGCCGTGGGCAGCGCGCGGAACTGCGGCTCGGCGGAGCCCTGGCGGGCCTGGCGTTGCTCAGAGGCCGGTCGGGTTCGTGGTCCCGCGTGCCTGTGGGAGAAGAACGCTTCTCCCGGGCACGGTGGGGAACTTGGGAGCGGGACGAGGTAGGAGAGGATCGCCCCTGATCGGCCCGGCGTTGACATTTTTATTCTGCTTTGGGGACGCAGGAGTGTTTCCCTTGTTTAAGCTTCTGGAAACTAGCAAGCAGCCTGCTCCACCTCCCTCCACCTGAGAGCAATTGTTGATCCGTTTCCATCACAGGCACTTGTGAAGGAATCGTGAGCCTGTGTAGCAGTGACCACCAGGACCTTGGTTCCCGCGTGTTTTTTGCTGGTGTCCCCCTCCCTCCCCGCGCTTTTCCTCGCCTTCCTTAAACTGGACGTCCTAAACATTTTTGTCTGCCCCCTCCCCGCCCATAAGGTTACAGCTGAGGGAAGAGGAAAGCGAGAAAGGTGGTGGTGGTGTGGTGAGGTTCACAGTGATTGCCAGTTTCGGCTAATGCTCTCCAAGTCCCCATCCGCGCTAAAGCACCGAGCGATCTTTCCGTTTTTGTTTCTTCAGGAGGTAAAGGGTTTATTATTACACAACTGACTGGCTGAGGTTCCATGCACGCTATTGGACAAAGCAAACTGCGTTGAGGTTCATGCACCGTGTATGTTGCTAAGAAGTTTTGAGGGCAGCAAGTGGCAAACGAGGGAGAGTTTTTTCTCTCCAGATAGCAGAATAGCTCAAAATTCTTGGGAGTTTTCAGAAGAAAATGCATAATAAACAAGTTGATAGAGATTATTGTTTTTAAAATCTCCTTGTATCCGCTCTCAAAAGTGGCTGGAAGCTTGAACTTATACTTAAAATGAAAAGTTCAACAGCAGTTAGGGCAGCCCCGCAATAGATGTGGGAATGTGTTTTTTTTTTCTAGGCCACCCTGAAGTACGACTGCCTGGCTCCCGGTGTGAGAAGATTTGAGCAAATGGTCATTTGGGTGATAGTTTTTGACAGCTGCCTGCTGGAATCCGGAGTGCCCACACTCATTACTCGGCCTGCTGAAAAGCCTGCTTTGTGTGGCAACAGGATATAGCTGGGTTTCAATTAAGTTCCATAGCATCAGTGACACCGAATAAGACAGACTCCTTAGCGGTTTTGCTCAGACACACTCAGTGTGTCAGGGGGTTTGAACAGTGATTACACAAATTGAGATGGGAAAATTAATAAGTTATGCTCTGTGATCCAAGCAGGCCCCATGTAGGAAAGAAGCCTGTTCTTTAAACCCAGAATAGGGTGTGATCGTTAGCATTAGCAGAAAAATTTTTTCACATCTCCAAATGAATTCTTTCAAATTTCTAACACATTGCTTTGCTCACAAGTTTTATAGCACATTGCTCACAACTTCTGAGAAGTTACATGTTGAATATGCCGCGGTATAATTTATCTTCTTTCATCACTTTAGCGCTATCCTGATACTGCATCTGAAGAGATTCTTTTTAATGGAACATAACAAATTCATTTTATCCATGTGCTCATTTGTTTGACAAATATTTACCGAGCACCCCCTTTGTGCCAGGTGCTACTGTGGAACACAGTATCATGCTTGCACAAGTGTGAGACGTCATAGCATAGCAGTCAGCCAACGTGTGATCATGACACCTAGGATTTGTGCTGTAGCAACTTCAGCCTTCCTGAGGGGAGCCGGTGACCATGCCAGAGCTGGTTAAAGCAAAGAGATGGGGCTTGATTCCTAACTGGTTTCATAGATCTCCCCTCCTTTCCCATCTTAGCAAGTCTAGCAGGTTATCAGTGCACAGATATTTATGACCTGTACTTTAAACATATTACAATTATATTTGTGTATGTAGCGTGCACGTTTGCAGTGGTATGCGTAGGGAAATCAGAGGGCAGCTTTGTATGGAGCCCTTCCTTCCCACCCACCTTTCTGCTTTCCAGAGCGCAAACTCAGGTTGTCATGCTTGCACAGCAAATGTCCCCACCCTCTGGACATCTCAACTAGTTTTACTTATGACTTGCAGGAAAATACCTCTAAGACTTCTGTTTCCTCCTTCCTGCTTAAGAACCACATTTGTCTGATTTAGGAGCTGTCGCAGAAATTGCTCTGGAGCCGGTGGGTGGAAATTTACTATGGCTGTGTATTGCAGTGAGTGCCGGAGTGAAGGAGGGCAGCCAGTGGCGGGGATGGCAGGCAAGCAGTTTGAAACAGCCCGGTTCTTCTGCCCACTGAGTCCTCCTTGTGGATGTAAATCAAGTACACTGAGGGCCTGAGCTGATCCTGCCATGGAGCTTGGATCACGACTGAGGACTCCGAAGCAAGGGAGTGGGGGATGGGAAAAAGATAAGGATTGCCTGGCAGACCTGGGGTAACTGGGAGGGAAACGGTGCTAATTTTCTTTAGATTCTAGAAAGAAAGAGAAGGCTTCTGGTGGGGGGAGCGACACCCTTCTTGGGAGGGGACATATGATCTTTAAGCAGAGACATGTTGTGTAGGATCCTCCCAAGATCCAAGACCAGGAAGTAGCGGTTGTAACTCTCAGTTGAGAAGCTGGAACTTGGCAGGAAGGAGGTCCGTGTCCGAGGCAGGCCTGGGCCAGTATAGAGAAAGGAGGCCCTTTAAAGATACAGTGTGGTGTCTCGCTCGCCAGGTGGCTGGTAGGGGGAGGATGGAGTGCAGTGAGGCACTGTCGCTCGCTCGCACAACCCTCGGAGACGGCGGGAGTGGGCTGAAGACAGTGGACCAATTCAGGGTCCCTTGTGAAGCTCATCCTGCCAGAGTGTTTGATGGCCTGGGTGAAGGACGCAAAGGAAGAGAGGAATGAACTCCTGGCAAAGGATGCTGTGAGCCCTTTGCCGAGACTGGGGGAACCGCAGGCCGGAGGGCTCTGTTAGGACAGATGAGGAGTGAGGTAATGGGAGGCTTGGAGGGGGAGGTTGCAGGCATGCGGGTGCGCTTAGGATGAGGATCTGATGGGGAGGCCTGGGCTAGAAAGGGAATTTGAAAATCAGCAGCCTGTTGATGTCAGAGGCCATAGGGCTCTGGATGCAGCACCACTTCAGTGGGTTCTAGGAGAAGCTGGTGGAGGTGGTCGAAGCAGTATCAGATGTGTAGGAAATGTAATGTTTAGAAACCAAGAGAAGAAATCGCTTCAAAAACCGAGGGACAAGTAGTAAGATGTTGAATAAATACAAAGAAACATTCCTTTGTGCTGGAACTTGGTGCTGTTTTTTTTTTAAGGTTCATTCTTACGTGTCTGGATGCTATGCCTGCATGTCTGTGTGTGCTCCGTGTGTGTGCAGTGCCATGGAGCCCAGAAGAGGGTGTCATCTCCCTGAACTGGAGTTAGATGGCTGTGAGCCCTCACGTGGGTACGGGAATTGAAGCGAGGATTTCTGAAAGAGCTGCCAGTGCCCCTAACCACTGAGCCATATCCCAGCCCCCACCCGTTATTCCTGATAGAAGTTTGTGTTGTAGTCAGCTGGACTGAGCCTTGACGGCAAGGCGAGGCTGTTAGGGTATGTGTATAGAACTCTCGGGAGTAAGAAAGGTCTATTTTGTTTCTTACAGGTGAGGTGAAGTGAGCTCAGGACTAGTGATGAGAATGCCGGACCTTGTCTGAAAGATGCCACACCTTTTTCTGGTGCTTTGAAACTTTGCTCCAGATTACCATACTTTTAACCCTCCTTGGACAGAGCCAAGTCTTCCATGAGTTAGGACCCCAGTTTCAGCCTGAATTTTATCTGTTGCTAAGTCTCACAAAGCCACGGATTAGATGGGCTGATTTCTCATTCGGAGTTTGGCCAAGAAAGAATTCCCTGCTAGGTGCGGAATGAAGGGGCGGAATTCATTTCCCTGAATGAGAAAGACGGAGGGCCCAGCTTCTTGCTGACTGCACCTAAGTGCTTCGTCTTTCCTGGAGCTCTTATTCCTCCAGTGTCTCCTTCCTACAGCTGTTTCATGTAGGCCTCCTCAGGATGGCCTCTTGTTTTATCAAACAAGCAAGGAGAATCTTGGGGCCACCAGTAGGGTTATCTTCCATGGGCAGACGTGAACTCCCTGTCTTTGCCACCTTGTCTTGGTTGGAAACAAGTTAACAGGTTGTGTCTGGTCAAAAAGACAGAGATTATCCAAGTAGGTGGAGATGTGAGGATCACGTGCACCATCCCTGGGAAGTAAGAAAAGAACAGGAGCAGAGGGGGTGGGGGGTGTCACTGCAGAGGGCAAGCACCTGGAAACCTGGAACCCAGGTGGAAGAAAACTGCCCTTTGAACTCTTCAGTGAACTGGAAAGGCAGAGGTCCAGTTTTTATATGGATGGTGATGGTCAGGTGACTAGCGCCTGCCGAGAGCCTCTGTCCTCCCCGTGCAGAGAGCAGGAGCAGTGAGAGTGACCCGAGGCTGCGTTAAGAGCTGGAAACGGGTCTGGGAGAGCAGGAGAGTTGCCAGACTCCATAGAGAGCCCGTCTGGGGTTTGCGGTTCCGTGTTCATAGAGCAAGAAGCTTGCCTGGGCGTGTGGTTTCCCCAACTCCATGCTCTGGCCTCCTGCACAGAATGATAATCATAAACGCAATCCCAGCTAACACATATGGAGTGACTCACGTGGCCAGTGCCATAGCCAGCATGAGTGAGAGGCAGGGCAGGTGGGACTGTTACTTTACAGAAGGGACAAGCCGTTAAGACACACGGCTGGACTGGAGTCCTGGGCGGTCTTCTGCCCGCTGCCCCTGTGGAAAAGGCAGGGTGGAGGAGGGTGGAGTTTCAGCGGGAGTCCTGGCTGTGGAAGGAAGGAGAGGGACTGACAGGTTCTTGCTGGTGCTGCCTGGGCTCTGAGGGACCT